ACTTTATACGCCTAAATAAATTAACTTTAGAGTTCAATTTTTTACACACATCAATTTACCTGACAGTGCCAATTGAGTGTATTTTCAACATAAATACCAAGCAGTTTTGTGATTCTACATTGTCAAGAGTTGAGTCGTTAATTTTCAAATTTAATGCTTTTGCAATCTTTAGCTTTTGTCTACTACCTACCAGCATACTTTTAGATTTTTTAGGGTGTAAAAGCATATTATTTATTTTACACCACTTAATAATCATATTAAGGCTATATTGTAGTTTTTTCTTCTATAACTGATATGTCATCTCCAGATTTATGCAACGTGGAATCATCAGCATATAAATCTATGTTAACATCCTCGCAAATATTTGGGAGATCATTTATATAAAGAAGAAACAGTAAAGGACCTAATATTGAGCCTTGTGGAACGCCAGAGGTAACATATTGTACGTCAGATTTTAAGTCTCCAATTTGAATTATTTGCCATACGATTAGACAGATACGAATGAAACAGTTTTAATGATGTGACAGGAAAGTGATAAAGTTTGAGTTTATATAAAAGTATTTCATGGTCAACTAAATCAAACGCCTTTTGCAGGTCTAAAAATACTGTACCTATATATTTTGCCACTATCAAATCTTTTAGCCAGGGTCTATCAAATGAATTAGGGCCGTATTGCATGAATGATTCTTTCGAAATCCTGATTGTTTATTATGTAAAATATTTGTTTTTTGGAAAAAATGCTGTAACTGATTAGCTATGTGACGTTCAAAAAATCTTAGATATTGTAGGCAAGATTAGAAATAGGTCGATAGTTGCTCGGATCATCTTTCAGTCCAGATTTGAAAATTGGAATAACTCGGGCATTTTCAATTTCATCAGGAAATATTTTCCTTGTCTTTATACTGGTTATTAATTATGCTAGCAATCATTGGGGTCGTCGCAAAGTCACCACACGATTTTATTATTTTTGGACCTAGTTCATCTAGTCCAGTGGCTTTATTTGCATCTAGTTTATCAAAATGTTTTTAACTTCAAATGCAGAAATGCTTTCAATTTTGAATTCTTTCCATTTCAATTTATTATCTAACTGATCCTTCAATATTTTAAATTCGTCGTTAGATAACTGTACTTTTTCGACAATATTAGAAATGTTTACAAAATGTTTTGTTCAATTCATTTATAATATTAGCATGATCAGTAAATGTAGTATCGCCAAAGTGAGTCGTTCGGGGAATAAGTACATTTTCCTTTTTACCTAAATTAGTTAAATCATTAATATTTTGCCAAATGTATTTTGGATTTTTTCTTTCATTTATTGCATTATTGAAGAAATTCTTTTTGCTTTTCTTAATCTCTGAATTTATTTTATTTCGTAATAATTTATTATTATCGAAATTCTCCATTTTTGTGAATTTATCTCTTAAAAAATATCATTGCTTTAATTTCATCAGTGAACCATTTAGGCTGTGCATCAAATTTAATTCTCTTTTTCTTTTATTGGGAGCATGTTTGGTAATAATATCTTTTACTATTGAAGAAAAGGTTTGTAAAGCTAAATTTGGATCAACAATATATACTCCACAGATTCTAGAGAAGATCGAGCTAAATCAGTCTGAAAAGATTGTTCATTAAATGTCTTGAATGATCTATATTTCATTGTCTTATGGAAACCACGTTTAACTCGTGATTTAACTGTTCTAATGAAACAGACAGGGAAGTGATCACTTATTGATAAATTTGATACAAATATATTACATACATGTGAATGACTATTCACACTGCCATAAATATGATCAATAATTGTTGCACTGGTTTTAGTTGTTCTTGTTGGAGTTTGAATGAATTGCTTAAGACCAAATTTTTGATATTAAATTAGACCATTTTGTATTATTGAACTTGTTTCTGAGTTTATCAGGCATTAAAATTAATATTTACATCGCCTAGAATATAATACTCAGAATATTTAGAATCAATTTCATCAAGTTGCTGTTCGTACTCATCAATCCATGATTGACGTACTTTTGGAGGCGGTTATACATAGTTTACTAGAAACGTTTTTTGTATTAGGGTAGTTTATCTCTATCCAAAGAGATTCTAAATTTTCATTTTCTAGGTCATTTCGACGTTTGTAGGGCACTTTCTCATTTATGAAAACTATCAACCCCCCTCCGTTTCTTCCATTTCTATCCTTTCTTTCAAAACAAAGTTTTCTATTTTCAATTCATTATTATGAATATTTTCATTAATAGATATGTTTCACAAATACCAAAGATATCTGGTTTGTTCATTTTTCCTAGATGATATCTGATTTCATCCATTTTTGCATCAAATGTTGTATATTGACGAACGCAAAAAAACCGCAAGCCCTTAGAAAAATAGTCAAAAGTGTTGATATTGTTTTGATTTGTAACATTATTTCCATTTCCAGGTTTATGTAAAGTAGTAAGCTTTTTTCTTGTTTACATTATATTCTAAACTAAGTAGTCGTCTTTTATAACAGCTATTAAAAGTATTGAAAAAATAAATTATCAACAAAGCACGATTTAAACCGATAATAACGGTACAAATTTGATAGCAGTTTAAAAATTAATGTGTATGTATGAACGCTACAGCATAATTTAACAACGCTTATAAATGCCAGTATCCATAGATATTGGTAAAATGAATAGCAGATAATTGATATTACTGTATCATATTGTTCTTCTGTTTCCGATGTACATAGATAATGTATTTTAAAAGACTCACATGCATTTTTAAGACTAACGCTGTAACTTATATTACTAACCTCATAAAATTTGTTAGATAAAATTGTTAAAGTTATTTTCATAAAAACATTTACATTTGTATGAATTACAATCATAAAATAAACTAATTAAAAACCCATACCTAATTTCTGAGCTATACATAGTGTCATGTGAGTGCCTGTCAAAAATATCCTAATGTGAATAATGCATATGTCTATATAGTTTAGTTTTTCCATCTCGTCGGCCAGGGGGTTGATTCCATCCATAATCGAGTCGTCTGCTATTTGTAACATCATTTGTTAGTCTGCACTGAGCCGTAATGTGATTATTACGTTCACAGTTGTCGCAATGAATCCTGTTGTAGAGCTGATGGCGCCGACCCATGTGCCTGTCCGACTCCCTTATTTGTTCATAGTCACTACCTCCGTTTGCACGTGTAAATCGCGGCATTCCGGTAGCACGTGGCGAGCGCGGCGTTCCGATTGCACGTGTAGAAAGATGCTTCTCATAAACCGAGCGTTTTTGCGGAATGATGTTAAGCACTTGATTTATTGCCATCACCAGTGTTCTAGATCCAGTTTCAAAACACTGGTGATGGCAATAAATCAAGTGCTTAACATCATAGAAAATAACGTACCTATGGAATAATACTCACGGACATGCACCGGACACGGATCACGGATGCAGGTCACGGATCGCGTACCAATGGAATAGCGGCCTAAAACCGTTTATTATTTTAAGAGAAAAGTTCAAAAATATGTATTGATTGAAAATGGATCTGTGCAGACCTTCATCAGACAATACTGAAGTATCAGCTGATCTAGAACGGTACTTGCCGCACGCATAGATTCAATCCCCACCCACCAAGATCAGCCAGTACTTCTGTCTTGTCTGATCTTGGTCTGCACTGGCAGCATGGGAAGATTCAGTCCCTACCAGCAGGTTAAGGGTAAGGCTAAGGCTAAAGTCTCAAGCACAACATCATTGTCAAACCTTCATTTTTCCCCCAAGTTGTCTTGGTTTTTTTTCCATTTAAACCCATGATGTTTATTACATGAAAATGTCAAACATAATTAGTGGATAAAAGTTCTTCAAACAGAAATAGAATAAATATAGAAGCAATCTGAAACCTTAATCTTCAGTCAATCACCAGAAAATTGCCTATCTCCGTGACAACAAAAGCCTGCTTATAGGAAAAAAATTGGAACAATGGATAACCGGATAACCTAATAAAAATGTGTAATAAGGTAGCTAAAATTACCGCTGAAATAGGATTCTCTCTGTACATGATTATTAAGTATGAGACATTTATAGAAATCAAATATTTGTAGCTTAATTACAAATCAGTGACCAATAAAATTAATGGCTATACATTCTAACGTTATAATTTACGAGTCAGAGACTGAAAAAAAGTGTTTGAGCACCACACTAAATACTGTATTTGTATTTCTGTATATACTGGACAAGGCGGTTGAAAGATTAAATGCTAAACTCTCAGCTTTTTACCAAACTACATGAACTTTAAAACATCTTATTCATCTCTTCACAATGATTTGTACAAGATAATTATACGATAAAATGAAAAATGTAAGAATCAGATAAAAACGCGATATTTTTCTACTCTGTGATCCTGATTTCAGCAAGCATCTATACATACTGCTGCAACACTGTAGTGAGTTAAATACATAACTTATATAGAATGCATTTAAACATTGTACTAGGACAATAAAGCTTGACCATGTCATCACCAGTACAAGTCATTGTATATACCATAGCTTTGTTTGTTTCTTTTGTCTGGTTTTTACAACAATTTCAACACTATTTTGGTCATACCATTTAGTGGTCAGTACACCAAACAAGCTTACCTGGTATACTTACCAGTTATTACCAATTTCTCTGCAAGTGACCAACTACTTATCCCAAATAAATTCTGAAAGACAAATGACTATTAGACTCAAATATCCGGGATAAATACACCTTATCCCGAGGATCAAACCATTGACCCCAGGCCCCGAGGTTTTAAAACTTTAATCTGAGTTGTGTCGCAAATCCCAGGATTTTCATTGGTTCAATATACATTCTGTGTTGGTTTCTGACCAATCAAATACCTGAGATCTGAGTTTATGCTCATTTATTTATAACCTCGGATCCTGGATGACAAATCCAATGCTCTCCCTTATAATTGATAAGTAAACAACATACTATAATATAATGTAGTAACAGAACTAGAACTGATTGCATCTATTAAAAACTCACCTTTTCAAAAAGCTGTATAAACCTTTGTCAAAACATCTAAAAAAGATAAGTAATAGCAACTGTATAAGTAAATAATACTATAATCCCAATGTTCAAACAAATCTAATAATTCAACCATTAAGCAGTTATTTCTACATAAATAGAGGATATTTAAGTTTTTTTCTAATTCAGCCAATACACAGAATGTTAAAGGGGAAGTCTTTTTAATTGTAATGTCAAATGTTTTAAGAGAAAACAATTATATAATACACAGAAAATTCAAGATTTTTCTACAAATATAGAATATATTCTCATCAAGTGGTATGAAAATAATTTATATTTCATGAGTGGCATTAGCTACGAGTGAAACATGATAAATTTCATACCATAAGATGAAAATAAATAATTCCGTAAGCCTTTAATCCTTCATAATGAAGATATTTCTTTGAAGTACCTAAATAACCCAGTTCATCATTAGTAATAATGAGACACTGATAATTCATAGACCAAAATGGAATGTTATTTTCCTATCAAATAATATAATTGTTTTTCAGATCAGCTTTACATCTATATTGGATTATATTGGCACCAGATGATTTTTATTTAATCCCAATATTTCATCAGACATTGTCTTAACTGTACTTAATAATATTTTGCTGGATTTTGTGAAACATGTGTGGTTGCATGGTTGGGAGGTTAACACCTTGGACTAGTATTCTGAGGATTGCTGGCGGCGTAGGTTCAAATGCCTTTGTTTCCTTAAGCAAGAAACTTTACACTCAATGCTAAGTACTGGTTTGAAAATGTTCCAGGAATGGATTTGAGTGTTTCAATAAGTTTTAAGCTTCCAACAAAATCAAACTAAAATAAATTTGTATAAACTAAACATGTACACATATACTCATTTGATCAATATTGATATATATTTGTAGCAAATCTTGTAATTTTGCGTTAGTTTAAATCAAACCATTTGTATACAGCTATATAATTATCTACTGTTAGTAGTTTTTTAATTTTTATTTTTAACATTAATTATAATTCCAAAATACTTTTATGAAAGAAATACATGTATATTTGAATATTTCCTTAAGAGTGAAGTTTGCATGCATGAAATCATTGCTAAACAGTTATATAACTCCTTTTAAAATAGCACTAAAATATTTTGCACTGTAATGTTTTATTCTGTTAACATACAATATTCATGTGATTTAATATCAGAAATTCTATGTTACAACTTTTTGAGAATCGATCCTAAGATTATGTAAACAACATACATGTACATTGTAAATTTACCATATATAAATCTTAAAACAATATTTTACTCAATATAGCTCTATACCCTTAAAGTATCCATATAAGTCAACCTTGAACCATTTATAAGCATAGGAAAGCAATGCAATTTAAAGTCAACCTTGAAACATTTTGAAACATAATGTTAAGATTTTATTAATACTTCAGTACAAATCGACATAAAAGATTTCAGAAAAATTTGGACTCACTTCCACATGTCCGAGTACAGATATATATAGGAGATGCAGTTGGGTGGGTCTGGTGGATTCAAATAATCGAACTTTGCTATGGTGCCGGGTAGTCCAAACATGACTAGGTATTTCACCATAAAGAACTGTCCATGACTGTAGCCTAAACCTGCCAGCGAGAACAGCGACACTGACCGCAGGACGGCCGTGTTGTGTTGTAATGCGTTGAAGTACAAGAAATGTAGAAGGAACTCGTTAAACATCGCCCAGAAACAAATGCGAAACAGATGTAGCGTCTGCAATTTCAGGTGTGGTCTGGGATTTTCTGGTATTGGAGAATTCATCTGAAAATCAAAGCATATTGATGGATAATATCTTTTTTGATATCAAAGGGAGGAAACCCTGATGGAATATTAAAAAGAACAAAGTAAGGTTATCTAAATAATCATTATTATTTATGTAAAAGATCAAGGGAGGTTATCAGAAATACGTTCCCGGAAAGAAATCAAAATTCATCACTTCTCTGCTCAATACATAGTATCTAATGATCATTATAGTAATTTTGTCACTTTAACTTGGCCAGGGTCTCCTTGCTTTCTTTTATTAAATGGAAAACCTCTAAAGTACATTAATATCCAACGTTTCTCAAGAACAAAATATTCTGAAAAGAGTAATTATATTTTATAATGATATGTTCTCATTTATTCATTATTCAGACTCTACCAATGTGACCAGTACAGACCAAGATCAGCCTACAGTAGTACTATTTACGCTGTCTAATGTATGTTATAAATATCTCTGAAAACTTATAGGTAATTTTTTTCAGCTTACCTGTTCTTTATAGAGATTATATGTCAGTATAGGTCCAGTGAAATACAAGGGGAGATAAAATACATAAGACAGAAAGTCAATGAAGCTGTAGCCCACTGCTTCTTTCCCTTCCTTAGTCTGGTTCCCTGATCCTTGTTCATGAATGGTCCCCGGCTGCTTCCTCTCTTTGTACATGTCAGTATTCTGGCTTTCTGTATGTAATAGAAGTATAAAATGGCATCAAAATTTAAAAAAAAAATGTATTAAATATTCAACATCATGTATGATATATATACAACTTATGTGAAGCAACATCTTTTGGGATGTTGCTCTTGAGAGGCTACATTAAGGGAAAAATTAGATACTAATTGTTGTAAAGAACTTCTTGCTCTCCAGAGGGCAATTCTGCAGAGGTTACAATGTATTACAAACCATAAATTAACAAAAAGCAGATCCCTATAACAGTCATCTGGGAAAATCAGTTAGTTGTTTAAAGATCCTGTATGTTGTAATTAAGGTTGTTACCACACTGAAGTGAAATTTTATATAATTATGTATATAATTATGCTTCTAAAACAATTTTCAAACATCGAAGAATATGTAAAATATGTACTGCACATATTGCCCACATTATATGTAATCATTAAAATCTCTTATTAAAAAATTTGACTTAGACTTTATAAAAAAAAAAAATTTCTATTTACCTCCCTTTATTAACATGAAATGTAAATTTGGTAATATCTTTACAAATAATGCCTTTGGAACTTACAATATTGATAAATCTTCATTTGAGCATTATATTTATGATATAAAACCATAAAAAATTGACTCGCAGGATCTTTAAAGTATAATAGAAAGCAAAGCTGATAAAGTTTTGTAATAGATCACTAAATCTTAACAATATGAAATACTGGTCAAGCTGTATTTCTATTTAGACTGAAAAACTTCAATCTTATTCTTAACCAAAGAGAAAATATTTAGGTCTAAATTTCGAAGAGTTTTTTAATTTTGTAAAAGCCTAAAATGGCATATAAAATATACTTATTTTCAACCATAAAAAAGAAACCTGACTTATAAATTCAGCCAAGACTTTAGTGTCAACTATTGCTTATTGTAGCTCGACTGCGATGAAAGACTAACTTTATTTGAACCACTCTCTTGAGTCACTGTCTGGAATATACCAGTACTGGTTTTAACCTTAGCCAGTACTGGTGTCATATGAGCTTACATGGTTCTAAACAACAGAGGGCTCAAACTAACTATCCCTAGGTTACGCGGTAGATACTAAAACCACTAGGCCAATTTTACCTTGAGCTGCTTGTTGTTCTTGATAATTCCAACATTTCTCAAGGCAGAAACTTGTACATCTAATGTTGATTAGAGCTATTGTAAACATGAGGAAATAATACCAAGTCTCTTCCTCATCATCATCTATCAGTGATTTCTGAAACAACATTAGGGAATGGACACCATGTTATTTTGGATATGTTATTATAATAGAACTGTTCAAAAGTATTTCAAAACTCACCTTGGAAGACTAATGGTAATTCAAATTCATTATGTTCATACAGAATTTATTTTTGTTCCAATGTGTTGGAAGCTATAAGCTTATTGAAACACTCTGAAATCTGTTCATGGAACCAACTACATTTTGTAGCACTGAGCTATCAGTGCACAGTTTCTTATTCAAGGATAAGCATTGGAATGCATCTAATGGGGTTTGAACCCATGCAGCCAGCAATCCTTACATAACTAAACTGACGTGTTAACCACTGAGCCAAGTTGGCAGACTCATTCTTACTTAATATTAGCTTTAACTTGAATCCTTTTTTTTCAAATTTTTGATAATGATTAAATCTGAGTGCTGTAAATTAAAATTTTTACAAAAGTATTTGGTTTAAACATATTTATTTTAGCTTGATTGCGAAACAAGTTCTTGCAACTTATATTAATCACTTTCGAGTCCGCTTCCTGGAACCAACCAGTACTGGTGTCAAAAAGTATTTGAATCACTTCTTGATTTGGAAGAGTAATCAGTTATTTAAATCCACTAACCCATTTTGCATTGACAATCTGTGGTTTCATTGTATGATATGATATAGAACATTCTATCAGACTATACAATGTAATAGTCCCTATCCCATTAAAATCATAATTATCCTGACACTCCTTCATAACATAGAGTAACAAGAGCCACCGCCGGGCGGGGGCAACGCTCGACTTTTTTCTTTTTCTAAACGCAAACATAGAAAGGTTTGAACATATATTAACGCTTCCTTTTTATAAATTTAGTTGGTCTGTCTTGTCACATTAGTTTTCTTTATGTATTTTGTATATATATGAATAGAAACATTAAGCATATTTCTAAAAATAGCAACAGTACGCAATTTCTTAAAATAGCAACATGACGCAATTTCTCAATATAGAAAAAATGACGCAATTTCTAAAAATACAAAAAATGACATAATGTCTAAAAATAAAAAAGTGATGCAATTTCTAAAAATAGCAACAATGATGCAATTTCTAAAAATAGAAAAATTGACGCAATTTCTAAAAAAATAAAAAATGAAACAATTTCTAAAAAAAGAAAAAAATGACGCAATTTCTAAAATTACTAAAAAATAGAAATTATGACGCAATATCTAAAAATAGAAATTATGACGCAATTTCTAAAAGTAGAAAAAATGACGCAAGCACCAATGACGCAATTTCTAAAAATAGAAATTATGACGCAATTTCTAAAAATAGAAATTATGACGCAATTTCTAAAAATAGAAAAAATGACGCAATTTCTAAAAGTAGAAAAAATGACGCAATTTCTAAAAATAGCACCAATGACGCAATTTCTAAAAATAGAAATTATGACGCAATTTCTAAAATTATAAAAATGACGCAATTTCTAAAAATAGCACCAATGACGCAATTTCTAAAAATAGAAATTATGACGCAATTTCTAAAAATAGAAATTATGACGCAATTTCAAAATGTAGAAAAAATGACACAATCTCTAAAATAAGAAACAATGACGCATTTTCTAAAAATAGCACCAATGACACAATTTCTAAAAATAGCACCAATGATGCAATTTCTAAACATAGAAATTATGACGCAATTTCTAAAAATAGAAATTATGACGCAATTTCTAAAAATAGAAATTATGACGCAATTTCTAAAAATAGAAAAAATGACACAATCTCTAAAATTAGAAACAATGACGCATTTTCTAAAAATAGCAACAATGACGCAATTTCTAAAAATAGCACCAATGATGCAATTTCTAAAAATAGAAATTATGACGCAATTTCTAAAAATAGAAAAAATGATGCAATCTCTAAAAATACTAAAAATAGAAATTATGACACATTTTCTAAAAATAGAAAAAATGACGCAATATCTTAAAATAGCACCAATGACGCAATTTCTTTAAATAGCAACAATGACGCAATTTCTAAAAATAGAAATTATGACACAATTTCTAAAAATAGAAAAAATGATGCAATCTCTAAAAATACTAAAAATAGAAATTATGACGCAATATCTAAAAATAGAAAAAATGATGCAATTTCTAAAAATAGAAATTATGACGCAATTTCTAAAAATAGAAAAAATGATGCAATCTCTAAAAATAGAAACAATGACGCATTTCTATAAAAAAAAAAAACAATGACCCAATTTCTCTAAATAGAAACAATGACGCAATTCTATAAATAGAAACAATGCCGCAATTCTATAAATAGAAACAATGACACAATTTTAGTTATTGTTGTTGTTGTTGTAAATATATATATATAGACACACACACACCAATAAATATTTAAATATGGTCATTTAATGATTTAATGCACAAATCTGAGAAAATTCAGCAATTTAACCTTCAAGGTCAAGGTCATTTAAGAGCCCAAGCAAAGTTGGGTTTGATAAACAACAAGGTCTGGTCCTTAAGAATGTTCTCTTATAATATGAAGTTGATCCCTTCAGTAATAGCAAAGTTACAGTCAGTGACCGCCAAAACAACGAAAATTTCAATAATTTGACCTTCAAAGACAATGTCATTAATGTGTGAAGGTCAAGGTCTTTCGGTATATCTTTAACAGTAATCTTTGAAGATTATTATGTTCTAGTTTCAGGACAATCCATTCAAAAATAACAAACTTACAGCCAATAAAAGCCAAAAAAATGAAAATTTCAATAATTTGACCTTCAAAGTCAAGGTCATTTATGAGTGAAGGTCAAGGTCTGGCTGCTTATTTTTAAGGGATATCCTTAAAGATTATTATGTTCAAGTTTGAAAACAATCCATTCAAAAATAACAAAGTTACAGCCAATAACAGCATGAACAAGCAAAAATTGGACTTTTAACCTTGAAGGTCAAGGTCATTTATGGATGAAGGTCAAGGTTAGTGTGGTCTACTGAAAGGTCTTGTCCCAAGGGTTGTTGTGGCCAAGTATGAAGACAATACACAAAGAAATAAAAAAGTAATGATCCAGGTACAAGTTTTCGGACGGCAACGGCAACGGCAACGGCAACGCCGACCTGACTGTAGCAATACCTCTATTTTTTTTTCAAAAAAAAAAGTCGAGCTAATAAAGCAAAAATGCTGATCTGATTTTAATGATATTGTAACAGTCATTACATTCAATTTGTTAGCAAATGAACAGTAAATTAACAAAAGTTACCTCCCTTAGACCATTTTTTACAAGTAAACAGTAAAAACTTATAGTCTACTAGTTGATGTAATGCTCAATTTGAAATATCATTTAGTTTTTATCATACATGAACATGTAAATTTGTATTGTTACTGTGATGTATCTAAATTTGTGATACTCACAAAAAATACTTATATCTTAAGGACCCCAATGGAAATAAAAGTTGGTTTTAACTCTTTTGTGTGTGGTATCCTTGACATATAAAGGCTATTTTTAAATTTATGCATCTTGTATCATTCTGTTTTTTTTTCTTATGTTTTCATGATGTGCCATGTTATTTTTGTATATTGAAATAAATCTGTATCTATCTAAATGGCATCACTTTAAACCAGTCTACTTTGCACTGGTGTATTTACTAAAGTGTATAAAGTAATATATTTGCTGAAAGTGGATTGTGAAGTTAATCAATGTATGTCAAATTTACACTTTTTCAACACATGTAAATGATTTCTTATCCAAATATGTAACTATCTTAATAACTTACCATCATAGAAATAAATGGTTCAAAGTTCAAGGTCGTGAGAGCACAAAGGGCAACAAACCAACCATGTCAATTTGGTGTTTCCAGTAAGTGACACTACGTACATCAGAGTGCAATGTGCTAAATACAGAACCAGTGGTAGGAAGCCACCCAAATAACTGATGCAGATCAGTGAAAATACCAAAAACACATACTTCCTGTTCTGAAAATAGGTTAAAAAATAAAAATTATATCTATGAGCTGGAAAATAATGTGGGAGACACATGCTATCTACAGCTAAAACTTTGTCATCAAAATACATTGTATGTTAAAATGGTACCAGTCTTTGTACATGTAAGCTCCTTGCTGATGATTTTTTTACCCTAATAATACATCAATACACTTGAGTAATGCAATACAAACTCTACAGCTCAGCAATACCCACTGGGTGATAAAGATTTTGGTTGTTGCACACAAATGTTGATTTAGACAAGTTAAATTTATTATGAATTTTAAATTCTTTCAAATGGGAAGAAATTATACTGTTGTTGAAAAGAGATTATTGCATTACAGAGAATCACTCTGAAGATGTTGAACTGTAATTGTTATAGGATCAAAACTAATTCCTTTAATATTTTCTATGCTCAATGACTAAAATGTGTTAATTATGAAAAACAAGTCTCTAATTTAAACTGTGTTGCCAAATGGTCATAGTTGGTTGACTTTGAGTCAATACTTATTGCACACAGCAGGTTCAAATCCCGGGAATATTAAATATTTTAATAAAAGGAAACAAAACCCTAGATAAAAAGATTTTATGTTGAGAATCAAATACTTATTCTGCTAAAAGCTTGAAAATAGGTCAAAGCTTGAAAAAATTGGAGTTTCTGGCAAAATTCGAGAAAATCTTTTACCTCTGCCTCTATCTTACCCATCAGGCAAAAACTTGGTTAGTCAATAGACTCAATACCTGTTTTCTTTTATTTCCAGTTTTGAGGAGATCCAGACATTATTTTGAGCAAAGTAAATTGTATGAGCTCAAATAAAGCAAATGCTCAAAAAGGACAAGTTAAATTAAACATTGCGTGAATTCCTTTTGTTTGTATGAAATATATAATAACAATAAGTAATTTTGAAAATAATGTTAAACATGTAATACTGATGCATCCAGTAAGCTTTGGACACTATCACGCTCTGCCTGGTTTTGGAATTTTTGTAACCATGTGACCTTTACCTGAAAGCCGCTTAGGCTTTTTGGGAAAAAGGTCTAATATTGCGAATTATTACAATAATGAATTAATAGAATTGGCTCATGATTATAAAGTGTATCATACAATGAAATAGTTATAAACTTACCCGAGGAGAGAAATATTCCATAACCTTGCCAATTATAAGATGTCCTGCATACCAAGGCCAGATCTTCCAGAATATGTTATACCAAAATGTCCACTCAAAATTAGAAATGTCCTTTTTTCTACCTAACCATGACCAACCCTCTTGAAAGTCATCAGGATGCAAAACATGTTCATATTCTGTATTGAAGAGGTAAAAGAAGAAAAAGAAATAGATATGACAAATGCAAATGACTTAATGTGAGTTTCATATACAACCTACTTTTTTTGAAAAGTGAAGCTAAAAAGGATAAAATAATTTCAAACTGCCTTCACTGACTAAAACTTTTACAGGTTTTATTATCTTTTAACAGAAAAAAATCCAAACTACAACAATGTCCTACACTAGCTGGCAGTAGAGTAAAGGCCCTAAATGTACATGCCTTGTCTGCAGGGGTTAAGATATCTCATATTGGCTCATATTAATGAAAATGAATATTGTAACTTTACTTGGCATATATTTAAATTAAAAACTTTTATTCTACTGATATTTAATTATTGAGAAATTACATTACTTATCTGTGAATGTGCAGTTTGGAAAGAAGAGATCTTCAAAAAACTGAGAATTTATGTATAATTGGTAAAATAAGACAGGGTTTTTTTCCAGGATTTTGGGACCAAGGAATTGGGTACTTCAGTGATGTTTTGTTGAAAAATTGGGGAAAAAATGCAGAATTAAATATTCCAAAGATTAAATGAATGCAAAGAATCAATGTCTAAGATGGCATCTTCAAACATTTAAGCACCATAACAATGAAGAGGCCCTTATTTTCAAAGATTTTAGAATTTGTTATTCAATAATAACTTTCAATTGGGAATTTTTTCCCGTGGATTGGGAAAATAATATACTATTTTTCAATTGGGAATATGACAGAATCGCTATAAAATAAGCCAAAAAAATCCCTGTAAGACAATTGTAAAAATACATACTGACAGAGTCTCGGTAAAACAGATAAGCCAAGATAGATATAGTCCACACTGTGCCAGCAAAATACGTCCATTTTTCTACCCAGTTTAGTGGAGACTCATAGCGATCCAAAGATATCTTCTTAGGCCCCATCTTTTAATCTGAAGTTAATAAAGAATATCAATTGTTATATGTGAATATGTCTGATGGTAGCAGTGTATCGCCACAAACATAATGCTTTATATGCAAATACAATAATTTGCTATTCAGTAGCACCACAAATATATTTTTTTTTAAATCTGATAATAATGCAAATCATATGACTTTGTGTTCTGGCACCAAAGTACCTGTGGCCATGTCCACATTACAGTGCCAGAGCGTTTTAAGTGCATGTATTACCACTAGTCAAAATATAGTGATGTGCCAAATCTAGATTTTGAGATGTTTTTCCTCTGGGTCAGAATCTCGCTTCTACTATGTAGTGGAAGATATTATGATGATCCATACACAAATATATCACAATATCTTATCACGTAGACTACAATAAGTTGGACTAGTAGTCTAGTATAACCACCAGACTGTGACATGTCTTATAATGGCAAGACCGAGCCTTTACCAGTGTTTTGAAAAGAGAAAGTTACCCATAATATTATTCCTCGGACAGTACAAATAGTTAAATAAAAAAACTTAAAAAATCATTAAAATTTTTCTTGGGCAATGATTCACTTTAAAAAAAAACTTTAAATAAAATGAAAATCCTCCTTAGGTTCAAATTATACTATCCCTATTTTTTAAAGAAAATTTTAAAAAATTTCTAGTTGACTTTTCAAACATTTTTTCGAAAAATTTTTCTTGTAATTTTTAATAAAGGGGTCTCTTTTCGGGTATAATTATTTTAATTAGAATTTCATCTTTGAAAATATAATAAAATCATTTTTTGGTAATTAAAATTTAAATTATTCAAAAATTTTTGAAAAAAAAAATCAACCAAATTATAAAAATCAATCCAAATAAAAAATAAATTTCAAATTTAAAATTTTTGCAAAAAAAATTTTTTTGGTTTAATAAAAAGTTTAAAAAAATTCACCAAAAAA